TAGCTGAGGCTTGAAAAGTTTTTTCACGATGGGCTTGCCTTTTAGACCAGGCTGGTCCCCTGGTAAGTGACCATGTGGAGCAGAGGCCCCCGTCTGTCCCTGCTGAGGCCCCTCGGCCAACAGCCTGCTGACTGCCGGGTGCGGGAGTGAGGCTGTTCTAGACCATCCAGCCCCAGCTGGCTGCCAGCTGACTGCAGAGTTCAGCCCAGCCAGTTCAGACCAGAACCACTCAGCTGACCTACAGAATTGTGAGAAATGACACATGTTTGTTCCTGGGAGCTGCTGAATTTCAGGGTGGTTTGTGGCAAAGCAAAAGCTAACTGAAACACCCAGGAAATCAAGTGCCACTTTATCATCTGGGAGCAAAGGCTCTCACGAGGGCTCAGTGTAGCTTGGCGGACCAGTCCCACGGCTCCTTAGGCACCCGTCCCGTCCCCCCCATCCCCTCATCCACTCCTCCCACCCCCAGCCTCAGCCAGAGTGAGCCCTTGGGTGTTCCCATGAATGCTTTATGCTTTCTGGCTTCTCACCCTGTGCTGGGGCCGAGCCCCACTCTGGAAGTGCTCTTCCCTTCCCTCCTCCTTTCCCTGTCTCATGTCCTATTTGGTCTTCTCTGTCTATTGTAATTCATCAGATCCTTGAAGGCATCTTCAGACTTCTTCGAGGGGTCAAGTTCCCTGTGGTTGGTGGGCCAAAGGGAGCAGTGCACCCTTGGAACTCTTCACTTGGTACTGCGGAACTCCTAGTTCTCTGTGGTTGTGGGACAGTCTTTCCCAAGGCGGGACGTACATTCTTGGAGGTCCAGGAGCACTGCTTTGAGAGAGTGATTCCCTTTTAAAATTTGTTCCAAGCATTTTGAATCAACCAAGGCACTGCCATGTCTTTACTAGCTCCCTAGCACTTGCTAGACTCCTTTTAGAACAAAGAGAAGAGCCTCAGGAGCAGGCCGTTAGTAGGCAACCGTAATGTTTCATTTTATTCACTTAATTATATTTAACAAGTTTTTCCAGTTCTATTGGAATAGAGTTAACTTGCAGTATTTATTTTTCAGGTTACATTATATCTATGGCAAATGATACTACTTTTCATTTCTAGTAAGGATATGTGGTTTTCTGTTATTTTTTTCTTTTTGTTTTTCTTTCTTTCTTTTTTTTTTTTTTAAGAGAGGGAGGGTGGGGAGGGGCAGAGAGAATCCCAAGCAGGCTCTGCCCTCAGCATGGAGCCCGAACTGGGGATGGATCTCACGACCCTGAGATCAAGACCTGAGCCGAAATGGAAAAGGAGAGATCTGAGGCCTGGTTTTCATTTTTTAGGGCTGCTGTAATAAAGAATCACAAACGTCCCATAGTTCTGGAGGCTGGAAGTCTGAAATCATGGCGTTGGCAGGACTGGTGCCTTCTGAGGCCGAGGGAAGACCTGTTCCAGGCCTCCGTCCTTGGTCTGTAGATGCCCCTCTTCTCTGTGTGTCTCTTCACAGCGTCTTCCCTCTGTGCCTATTTGTCTGTGTCTTAATTTCCCCTTTTGACAAGGACCTAGTCATATTGGATTATGATCCACCCTACTGATGTCATTTTGATTTGATTACTAATGTAAAAACCCTGTCTTGAAATAAGGCCACAGTCTGGAATCCTGGGGGTTAGGACTCTTAACACATCTTTTGGTGGCAGGAGAGCAGTATCAGTAAACCCACAATAGGCCTTGAGATTGATTCTAGTAATTTTTGGTTGGGAAGTGGTTCCCATCAGGGATCCTAGTCTTTGGAGTTGAGCTGTTGGCTTTGGCGAGAGGAAAGTACCCCTTCCACAAGTACCCTGAGAGTTTATCCTGCTTGATGAGGGGAAAACCCACAGGAACTAGCCAAATAAGGGGCTTCCTACCAAGCAGGTAGCAGCAAGGCTTTGAGGAAATTAACAAGGGCTATATTTAAGCTCTGGCAAAAAAGAAAAAAGCCGCTCTCTGTTTATAGGTGAAAGTGTATGGCTTCCAGCTCACGTGACCAGGTCTCCAAAGATGCTCTGTTTGGCGGCAGGAGCCTGTTTGGGGCCCACGGAGCTTCTTCACTGAGAAGCCTCAGTGGGGCTTTCTCTTGCACAGCCCGTCTTCCTGATCACCTCATTTGTTACTCTGGAACCGAAGGTGGCAATGGATAGCTTGTGAGTGAGAGATAACATTTTGCCAATTGACTGTGTTGAACGAGATCAGTAAACATCACGACTGAAAATCTTAGCGCCGTGATAAATACTGAGCACCCACTGTGGGCTGGGTGTCATGGGAATATTTATTGAGCACTAGATTGCAAAACTAGCCTTGATTGTCTACCCATCCCCGTATCCATGTTCCTTGCAATGTGACCTTGCTGCTCTTGCCATCAGAAGATGGAGTCTATTTCCCCACCCTTGAACGTGGGTTAGACTCGTGACTTGGTTTAGTCAATACGACTATGGAAGTAATGTAATGCCAGCTTTGAGCCTCGACCTTTAAAGATCTTGCACGAGTCCATTCTTGCTCTTGGAACCGCACAGCTCTGTGTGAACCTGGGCTAGCTTGCTGGCAGATGAGAGACGTGTGACCCAGTTACCTCAAGTGACAGCTAGCCACCTCCCCAGAAGCAGAAGCCTCTGGCTTCCCAGAAGCATCTGCCGACCCCAGATGCATGAGGGAGTCCAGCTGAGGCCAGAATTGCCTAGGTGAGCCCAACCTAAAAGGCTGACCCATAAAAATCATAAACTAAATAAATATTTATTATTTTAAGACACTTCTGGGGTGCTTGGGTGTTTCATCTGGTTAAGGGTCTATCTCTTGAATTTGGTTCAGGTCATGATCTCAGGGTCCTGAGATGGAGCCCCGTGTTGGGCTCTACGCTAGGCGTGGAGCCTGCTCAGATTCTCTATCTCCCTCTGCCCCTTCCCTCCCTTAAAAAAAGACCCTTCTGCACTTTGGGGTGTTTTATGATGCAGGAACAAAAAGTACAGACTGATACCTGAACTTACTATGTGCCAAGCTCTGGCTGATCTAAAATCAGGCAGAGTCTTGGGAGAAAAGACATTTGTAAAGACGGCATAGTAATGGGCATGGTGCAGTAAGTACTCTGGAGAAGCAAACTCACCAGGCACAGGAGCTGTGGTCTTTGAGCTGGGCAGGAGTCTTCTCCCTGTGGAGTTGGAAGGTCCAGGATGAAATTCTTGGGAGAGAGGACTGAGTATAAGGAACGAATATGGGGTGCCCCGGGCTGGGCCATCAGTCAGTGGTATTCACTGAACCCTTACTATATGCACAGAAGCACTAGTCTGGCGATCTCAGGTCTGTGTATGGCCTGGAAGAGAAGAGAAGACTCCCATGTGTGGAAATTAGCCAGAGATGTAAGGCTGTTTTTGTTTTTGTTTTTTTTTTTTAAATTAAGCTCTGCGCCCAGCATGGGGCTGGAACTCACAGCCCAGAGACTGAGTCACATGCTCTACTGATTGAGCCAGCCAGGCGCCCTCTAAGGGTGGTTTTAAGTGTAACAAGTGGCCGAGTCCTCTTTGTCCAGAGTAGTAAGGATCTTGGCTTGGGCAGAACAGGACTCAACCATTTTGTTATTAATACCTGGAACCTGGTACATATGTGGCAGGGATAGAGTGATGATGAGGTTGGGGAAAGGTCTCCACAGATAGTCTTCCTGGGATGGAGTCAGACACACGGCCATTCAGGCATCCCCAAGTGGTAACCCTTTGAGGGCTGGGTCTGGGTCTCATTGATCTTGGCATACCCAGAGACATGGGGACCTTGCATATCCTAGGCATTCAGGTTTAAAGACTTTCTTTGGAGACATTTCTCATCCCCTTCCCTGTATTGCCAGAAACAATGTGACTTAAAACTAAAGAAATATCTTTTCTCATAGTTCTGGTGGCTGGAAGTCCAAATCGAGGTGTCTTCAGAGTTGTTTCCTGTCTTGCCCCTTCCTAGCTTAAGAGCCTTGCCCACACAGTCCTTGGGATTCCTTGGCTTATAGGCACATCACTGCCAAATCTGCCTCTGTCTTCACATGTCCTTCTCCCCGTATGTATCTCTTCTCATCAGAACACTATACACACCTTACTCCAGTATGACCTTACCTTAACTAATCTCTGCAGTGACCCTATTTCCGAATAAAGTCTCATTCTGAGGTACCTCTTTTGGGGCAGATGACCCAACTAATAACATCCATCAAGACCCCGGGGGAATGTGTGTTCCTTAACTGAGTGCCTCAAGCTCCCCCCCACCCCCACTGCCCCAGAGGCGGAATTAAATGGTCTTTCTTCAGGACTTCTACATAGTACATGCTCTGTTTACTAGAGCATGGGACATGTTGATCATTGTCATTGGCTGAGTGAGGGGCCTCGCCTCTTTTGTGGTCTCTGTAGTGCCTTATAAAGGGTATATGGTGAGTCCCCCAATGAAGCCACCGCCTTTCCCTGAGCTGTCAGGCTCAGCACTGCAGGAAACTTGTCACATATTAGTCCTCGCAATGACCCCTGTATATTTGTACTTTAACTCCTACTTTTTCATGGAGAATGTTGGGATTTAGAAAGGTGAGATAACTTAGGGTAGCCATTGTTATCGTCTCTAAAAACCCAAATGGGCACCTCAAGGCGTCCCATGGTAAGTTTTCAACCCCCATTTCTCAAAGTACCCCTGATCTGGCTGATTCAACTCCATTCCCTTGAGAAGAACCTGGAGCCTCAGTCCTATTTATCTCAGGGTCCGAGTAGCACTTTCGGGTCTACACGCCCGCCCTACCTCCCCAGCGCTTTCCCTCCAGAAGCCGCACACAAAGCGGATCCACCCTGCGCACGAGAGCGCGCGGGCCGTTTTTCCGCGCGCGCCGCTCCCGGGCGCGGCGTGAGGACTGGCGCGCTGATTGGCTGCTCGCGGCCAGGCCTGCGGGGGCCCGCTCCCGCCCCAGCACCTATCCTGGTGCGGCGATTGGCGGAGCGGCCGTGCGCGCTCAGACCGCGGTTCCGCGCGCCCCGCCCCGCCCGCTCCAGCGCGCCACAGTTGCATGGGGTGCCGCCGGCGGCCGAGGGAGCGTGACTGCGCTGCGCAGGGCGCTAGGAGGCATTGTCGCTGTAAGTGGAGCAGAAAGCGGCCCAGGACGGGGCCCCATGCTTCGTGCCCCGCAAAGTAAATGCAGTCTGAGACTGAGGGCTGGGGGCGAGAGGGAGAGAAGTGCCCCCGGTTCTGCAGCGTCCCCTCCCCTCCCCCAGGTCACCGGGTGGAAAGGGCAGCCGTGCATCAGCTGCGGCTTCTGCAGTGCCCAGGGGCCCGGCGCTGTGCCGGCTTCTGCTTGCAAACTGCGGCGGGACCCCGGCTGGCCCGCGGGAATGGGCGGCGCGGTGGCAGGGAGTAGGGAGCCCGGGGAAGCGGCGCAGGGCCTCCGTCCCCGCGGGAGGCGCCCCGGCCCGGAGAAGCTGTGGTGTATTTCGTTCCAGAAGCAGCGCTGTCGTGATTCGCTTCCGTTCCGGGGGCCGCAGATGCCTGCCCCAAAGCATGCCTCCCGGCCTCCGGGGAGCGCGGGAGTCCCCGACCCTCTGCGATCGCCAGCTTTCGCCCCTCTCCCGGCTTTATTCTCCCCAGTCTCCGCCTGCCGCGCGAGCGGAGGGCCGGCGACGAGGAGCCATTGGCTGCGGGTTCCGGGGGGTGGGGTAGACGGGTAAGGCGGGCCCCTTGCGCTGGGAGGCGCTGCCGGAGGATACCTAGGTGCCCAGAGCGGAGTGCGCGCGCGGCGCTGCATACCCCAAGGCTCAACACCAGGCGCCAGCCGGTCCCGCTCATACCCCAGCGGGCTGCTTCCCTGGGGTGGGAAAGTGGGTCAACTCCGTCCAGGTCTCCAGGGCTTTCGGGGCTACTTGGATATCATCCAGCCCTCCGTCTCTCACCTTCCCACCTGCTTCCCCACCTGGCGTGGCCGGAGGGACGCGCGGGAGCCCGCGGTGGGGGAGCTTGCACACATGGCTCAGGAGGCTCGAGTTGCCCTTTGGAGCGGCTGCCAGGCTCTAAAGTTCCCAAGTGACCACATGTAACTAAATATAGGAGCAGCTGGTGCGGACGGGGTGTCCGCAGCAGCTCCTCCAAACAGATCTCTGGGCTCCAGAGAGGGCAGAGTCCTCCCTGGGGAGAGCAGGAGCGCCAGCAGGGGGCTGCAGGCAGGGTTTAAGCAAAAACCACCCAACTCCAGCCTTGTATCCCGGTGAAACTAGGTTATAGATCAGAAGGGCCTGTTGCCAGCTCCCACAAAGGAAAACCACTTTTCTGTTGTTTAATTTATTGTGTCCTGAATCACCTACATTTAATGCAGTTAATGTGGGAAATGCTTAACATTTGCAAAGATCTTTCTCAAAAGTTATAGATCATTTGCTGCTCTCCAAACACTGAGAACTTTTCCAAACTCTGATCTTAGGCTGCTGCCCTCAGAAAACTTTCCCTAGCTCCCTGCAGAGAAACAGGACAGAGTGTCTGGAGGGCCTACAGCCTCCTCCTCCTCCCCCAGTAGTCTGGGGATGGATTGGCTAGCTGTCTCCCACTTTCTCTCATTTCTTTGGGTCCTTCTGCTCAGTCTGTGTCTGTCTTGCCTTCGTGAGGAGGGCACACATGCCCCTTGGGCCTGGTGTCACAGCCCTACTAGCATCTAGCTCATTCTTCCTCTTGTCACCCAGTTTCTCCTAGTCGTGGGAAGCTCATTCTGGCCTGTGCCCCATCTCTATAACTTTATTCCCCTGTGTGGCCCTTTGAGAAGGTGCCCAGGAGATGTTTGTTGGATTTATTTATTTATTTTTTTAAAGATTTTATTCATTTATTTATTTGACGGAGAGAGATCACAAGTAGATGGAGAGGCAGGCAGAGAGAGACGGAGAGGGAAGCAGGCTCCCCGCTGAGCAGAGAGCCTGATGCAGGACTCGATCCCAGGACCCTGAGATCATGACCTGAGCCGAAGGCAGCGGCTTAACCCAACTGAGCCACCCAGGCGCCCTGATGTTTGTTGGATTTAAACATTTCCTGAGGCTATGATGCCCACTCCGAGGAAAGGGGAATTGGGGATGTAGGGAGAGGGATGTATGGCTGGGGACAGCAGCCCTGTGAGTATGGCTTTGGAGCCTGTGCTGAAGGGTTTCCAGGACTTGGAGCACTTAGCCTTGAAATTAGCTAAGGCTTCCCTGCAGTCCCTTGGGGATACTCTCTGACTTTCTTCTACTATCACTCTGCCTGTGGGTTTGGCCAGATGCCTCAAAGAGCCCAGAGGTTGAGCCTGTGGGGTTCTCCTGGGGCCTTGTAGTTGGGTTCCAGTTCCATGAAGGCTCCCTCGCATACTGTTCGCTCCCGCTGGCTGGCATGATAACTTCTTTTGTGGGATTGCAAGAAATGGGTGGCCAGAGTGGTGCTGACATGCTGATTTTGGTTGACTCGTGTTTATTTATTCATTTTTAAAGATTTTATTTATTCATTTGACAGCGATCACAGGTACGCAAAGAGGCGGGGGGTTGGGGGGAAGCAGGCTCCCCACTGAGCAGAGAGCCTGATGCGGGGCTCGATCCCAGGACCCCGAGATCATGACCTGAGCCGAAGGCAGAGGTTTAACCCACTGAGCCACCCAGGCACCCCTAGTGTTGTTTTTTATAGGTCCCCCCACCCTAGGGGCTGCCCTGCCTATGGGCTTTTGCACTCCGTCCACAGTAGGTCCATAGCTCTCTCTGCCACTCAAATGTGACCCAGACAGTTTTCTATTTTTCTCAAAAACACTGTAAAACAAAAGAATAGCTTTATTTTTATTTCTAACCCCCCAACCTCCTCTTTCTTGAGGTTTCTGTTACATGCTAAATAAATGTTGCCTTTTTTTTTTCTTTTTTTGTCAAAGAGGCCCAGTGTTGGGTTAGATCTGAAAGGAGCCGTTGTGAAGTTGGACAACCTCTTAGGTGCCCTTTTGGGGACCCACTCCAGACTCCTGTCATCCTGTTTATTCTTCCCTCAATCCAGGGCCCCCTGACCCCACCTCAGGTCTTATACCACACATGACCCTGCCATTCTCCTCTCTCACAACCCTGGCTGTGCCAGAGTGACAAATTTTGTCATCTGACTTGAGAGAGGGACAGTCAGCTGGACTGTAAGAAGGAATGCTTCCTGAAGAGGGGAGGGGTCGTGTTAGGTGAAGGGAAGGTGCTTTCCTGGTCAGTTACTGCGGTTGGCAGTTTGGGATAGATGGCATCTGTCAGAGGACTAGGACACATCTGTGTGGTACCCAGAGCATCCTCTGGGATGTAAGGGGCCCTTCCTACTAATGACTGGCTCTGACAGCCAGACCTTGTAGCTTGCTCCTGTTCCCGCTTTGATGTCCATTCTCTGATCTACACCGTAGAGTGTCTTCGCTTGCCACCGGGGGTGATGTTTTTAATTTGATTAATTGTCATCAGTGGGCTGTATGGTCTGAGGCTTCCCCTGCCCTGCTCCCTTCCTCCCCAGCGCCTCCCCCCCAACCTGGTGGCAGCTAGAATTGTAAGCATAGTGCCTGGCTGAAAGTAATCAGCCCAGACAGCCCCCCTCAGGGTTAGCACAGACCCTGGGCAGCTTGGAGATCAACCTTCCTTTTCCCTTGTGCTGGGAGGCCAGGAGTGACTCAGTGATGTTTCCTAGAAAGCTGTCCATCAGAACCATAAGTCTGAGCTTTTTCCTGTGTTTCTGTCCTCTTCATTCTTATGCCCTATACCTAGTAGCTGCTCCATACGTGTTTGTGATTATGGATGATAAGTATTAGGGAGAGGGCAAGGAAGGAGCATGGTACAGTAGGAAGAATCCTAGGCTGGGAGTTAGGAGACTGAGCTTTTTTGTCTTCCATCTAGCTCATTTACCTCCCCTCTTGAGCCCTCAGCGTTCCCATTCATAGCAGTTAGAGTAAGTCACCAAGATCCCAGCAATATTGCTGTGACTCAGGCTTAGGAGATGGTCCTAAGGGCAGCATGGTGGAGGTGTTGGGTTTAGTTTGCCATAGTCCTCACTATTCCCAACTATCCTACCCTGGCCCACCTTATGCAAGTTGTCTACCTAGCACCATTAGACATTTGACTCTATGACCCTTCTCATTTAGACGCTGTCTTGGATTTATTATAAGAGTCCATTGACTTGTATTTAGATTTGAAACCCAAATGGTGGCTGTTGATCATCATCATCACCATTGGGGTATCCTACCTAGACATCTTTATTCAGTTTGTGGTGTAAATTGGGGGGAAGGGGAAACACAGTAGAGAGCTGCTCCCTGTGCCCAGCTGCCCACAGGCTGATTAGGGAGACAAATATATATATTTTAAAAAGCTCCTAAGTAACCCAAATGGTTTGTGCTAAGTTATTAAGTGGTGCTGAAACTCAGAGGGAGGAGAAAACACTGAGGGCTGAGGCAATCAGGGAAATCTTCCTGGAGGTGGAGAAGGAAATTCTAGTCATTCCTTAAAGATGAGTTCCACTGAGTTATTTGTTCAAGTCACATGGGTATGAAATTGGGATTAGAGGCCAGTGTCCTATCTGCATGTGTACTGTTTTATCCTCTTGACTAGAATTTGTTAAGACCTATATGTCCTAGGCCCTGGGCTGGAAAGAAGTAAATATTTTTGTTCAATTCTCAAATGAATCCAGTGAGGTATTACCAGATCTCCTACTCAGATGAAGAAACTACAGCTCAGAGTAGTTAAAAATCTTTCCCAAGGCCCCTGAAGTAGTAAATGGCAGAGTTGGGCATGAGGCCACCGCTCTAATTCTACCGCACTGTGGGTCTCAGACCTTCCGAGTCAGCCTCCATGGTAAGATGCAGCCACGAACCAGAGTCGCTCAGCAGATGGCCGGGCCTGGCCAGCCCCGGCTCAGCCTTGCCTGTCCTGCCTGTGTAGCTGAGCACATTTGGACCTTGACGTGGTGTCTGGTAACAACCGCAAGCACTCCCCTTACCCCCTTCTCTCTGTCCTCACCTTCTTCGGCCTCTGACACTCAGAGCTGTCTCTGAAGCTGAGACTGGGATCCAGAGGCAAAAAAGGGCACTGGCCTTGGCCCCAAGTTCCTTCTGTCCCTGGGATGCTGCTGCCCGTGTTGTGGACGATTTTTTTAAAGAGGTGAGCGCTGAATGTGGAGCTGAGCTGGTAACATTGTTGCTGTTGACTCACTTTGGCCTTGGTCCGTCTCTGTGCCTTAGTTTCCCTCTCTGTAATTAAACAGGGAGTTGGAGACCTTTCTAGAGTCCCTTGTGTCTTTAATCCCAAATAGCTTTGATTGTGTTCCTCACCCTTCTTGAAGCCTTTTCCCCCTCAGTGATCCAATTTCTCTTCTCTCCTTTCCTCGCCCCGCCCTCTTCTCCCTCGGGTCTGGCAGATAAACTCTGCGCCAGGCTGATCATCACGTCTTCGGGCTAAAACAACCGGAATCAACCCTAGCCATCCCTCCTTGTTGACCGGTGGGAAGGGAATGCTTAATGACCCCTCCCCTCTCCGACTGTGACCTCTGACCTGGCAGGCTGGCTACATTTGCCTCTGTACCCGCACTTCCCAGCATGCAGGAGGTACCCAGCAGAGGCGGGTGCGGTGAGCCGGGAGCTGGGGAGCTTGTCCCTGTGGTTGTGGACAGGGCACCGGCCCAGACGCTGTTGGATGGAGGGATAAGTGTCTTTCCCCCACAGTTGGCTGCCCCCCCCCCCCCCCCGCCCCCAGCTTCTCTTCCATTGTTCCACCTGCTCAGTGAGTCACAGGCAGCACACACCTGAGTCCTCACACCTGCCTGGCCACTGTTTCAGACCCTTGCCCTGAGTCTGGAGAGGTCAGACGTGTGGACCCACCCAGGAAACTGGTTGGGCTGGGGCTGCCCCCACCCCTGATGGGCAGATTAGCTGCACGTGGCATGGTCTCTGGGCCTCCCAGGTGGAAGTGAGTGGCCTGGCGGCCTCCCTACAGGCTTCCTGCAGCCTGGGTCCCCGGGAAGGATGGCGTCGGGGGCATGTCCCCAGCTGGGCGGCGGGCGCTTCATGGTCCTCTGTCTTCTCCAGGCACGGGCCCCCTTGTGAGCAGCAGACCGGCCTGGTGGCTGGCGGCAGGACCCCCTCGCCTGCATGCTGAAGAAGATGGGTGAGGCCGTGGCCAGAGTTGCAAGGAAGGTCAACGAGACTGTGGAGAGTGGCTCTGATACCCTGGGTGAGTGAGGCCAGTGCCTTTCCAACTGCAGGGTTCCCCATAGGCAGCGTGTGAAATCAGTTTAGATGGGGAATTGAAACAGGAACAAAGAGACGGTATCAGCACCTTGTCCCGAGGAGACGCGTCCCATGGAGTTTTACACACTCGTGCTTGGTGTGGGAGCAACCGGGGGCCTGTGTACAGGGCTGCCAACTCTGAGTGGATGTGTGCCCTTGGCCCAGGTGATCATAGCTGCCACTGCCGAGGAGCCTCAGGCCCCAGGCCCCATGCAGGGGCCTGAGGAGTGTCGCCATATTGAATCCTCACTGCGGCCGTGTGATGGTGGATCCCTGCCAAGCATGACTAGCCTTGGTCTTCAGATGAGGAGGCGATGGAGTGTCAAAGGCAAAGGGGGCTTTCCCCAGGCCATCCAGCCTGGAGGCTGCTTTTCACACCACTGTTTTACTTGAATTGTGTCTTATATTTTTTGCTTTGACTTGGTCATAGCATTTTAGCCCATACAATTATGCCAAGGCTTCAAGCATCTAACTGACTTCAACAGATATTTCTGGACTGTTTGCATGTGCAAGGATGATACGCGTGTGTGTATGTGTGTGGGGGGCTCATGCACTGGAATGTGTGTACCCCTTAGAGCCATTGACATACTGTGGGAACCCAGAGGAAGGGGAGCACATTCCTGCCTTGGGGATGATGGTGTACATAGGGTGGGATTTGAGTGGCGCCTTTGGCACGTGGAGAGGAGTTCCACAGGCAGGTGTGTGTGCCCATGTGGGTTTGTGTCTGTCTCTTCAAGGAGCATTTCCGTGGAGGTTATTGCCTGACCAAAGATCCAGACACTGGGACAGTAGAGCATTTCTGTAAACAGCCATTGGTCAAGTGTGTCTGAGGTTCCCAGGCAAGTGGTGGTGGTCTCGAAAGTGGAGGGTCACTCAGCCTTCAAGAGGAGCTTGGGGGTGCCTGGGTGGCTCAGTCAGTTAAGCATCTGCCTTCTGCTTGCATCATGACCCCAGGGTCCTGGGATTGAGCCCCATGTCGGGCTCCCTGCTCAGTGGGGAGCCTGCTTCTCCCTCTGCTCCCCGCTCGTGCTCTCTCTTGCTATCTGTCACTATGTCTGTCTGTCTCTCAAACAAATAAAATCTTAAAAAAAAAAAAAAGATGAGCTTGGTCACCACCTCTTTCAGGAAGCCCTCAGCCCTACACCATCCACCCCTCACCCTTTCTTCCTCTGTAACATTCATTCAGTGTCTCTAGAGGGCAGAGACTTTTGCCCCCATACTCCAAGAGCCAGAGCAGTGTCAGGTACTTGGTAAGCACATAGCGTTTGCTGAACTGAGCTAAAGCAGAAGCATCTGCTGTGGCAGAAAAACTTGAGGCTTGTGGTTGGTTTTGGAGGGGACTTTCTGGTGAGCTGATGGGCATGGGCCTGCAGGAAAGGAATTCTGGAATCCCAGGCCAGTTCCTGACGCAGGCATACTTAGCCCAGTGTTGAAGGCTCTCTACCACTCACACGGCCTGGATTTCGAATCCCCACTCCGCCACCCACTCGCCCACTACTTTAGCAAACCTGCTAGCCTCTAACGCACCTGATTTCTTCATGTCTATAACGAGGATGGTGACCGTGCCTGCCTGGTCAAGGTAGGACCCAGTGGCCTGGTCGTAGAGGAGTTGAACGTCTTATTTAGCCTTGGCTATCTCGACTGGACCTCGGAACTTTCACAGGGAGTTGCCTGGGTCTTGAAAGTTAGGGCAGACCGATGGAGGCCCATTTGTCTCTCAGTGCCCAGCGAAGACGCAGAATGCCAAGACCAGGCCCCTGGGGGTGCTTACACTTCAGCGGGTGAAACTCTCTGGGGTCATGCAGTCTGAGGGGGCTGGGGTCGAAGCTGTCTGCATGTATTGAGCACCTGCTGTGTGCGAGGTGCTGGGAGGCTCCCTCGGGCTGTGTGCAGTAGAGTTCTGGACGTGAGACCAGCCCACCACTGTGGGACAGAGAGCAGTGAGGGACACGAGGTTTCCATGCTGAGCCAGGTCAGACACACCGCAGGTGGTCAGGGTTCAGAGGTGGGAGATGTTGAAGGCGTCCGGGAAAGCTTTCTGGAGGAGGTGGGCATTGAAATGGGTCCTGAAAGAGGTGCCAGCTAACCCAGTGTGGTTCTCATGTAAAACAGCAAGCAATCTGATGCAGCCTGAAACAACCAATCCCAGAAAATGGCTTAAATAGATTTTCTTAGAGCTGTACAATGCCATTTGTGGAGCTATTAAAAGTGGTGCGTAAAATCTAATTATATGCTTGAACGAAGACTGGCGTGTTCCTTAGAACATGGATTGGAAAAAGGCAAGAATCCCCATCTGTAGAGATAGCGAGACACTGTTATGTTAAACACGTGTATATACAGGAGAAGAAATGGAAAGGAAATCAAACAGGACACAAATGGATGTGAGAAAATACCCTTGTGTGCTTCCTGAACATTCTATGATAAACATATTACTCTTTTAAGGAAGGAAGTAGAGATTTCAGGGAAAGGGCTACCTGTCACCGTAGGAGGTAGAAGGAACACCTCCCATCGGCAGACGAGAGTTACGGCGATCACTCCTTCTCTCAGCCCTTGGGTGTGGACGGGGCTTCTCCCCCTCTGCTGGCTTCCCCAGCCTGTCTCCCTGTGCGCAGGCCTGGGGTGCAGCCCTGGGATGGCTGGCTCAGAAGCCGCAGGTGTCCGCAGGGCAGAAGATCCCTGTGGAGACAGATGACTGGGCTGAGAGGACTCAGTTACAGGCTCTCACCTTACTCAGGTAAGCATCGTGGGCATCCCCCAGGCGCTCGTGGGTGCCCTCTGGAGCCAGGCTTGCTCCTCCTGCAACCTGAGCCATGGCTCCTGGCGCTGGTCTCCCCACCCCAGGCCTCTTCGTCCCCCTGACCCCTCTGGTCTGCTTCTCAGTTTGAGCTGAAGCCACTTTTCCCCAGCCCCTTAACCCGACCTCAGCTCTTTCGAATGAGTTTGTACAGAGATGGGAGCTCTGCACTGTCCTCAGGCTTTCCTCTCCGTCCTCTCCTTGTGTCCCCAAGTTAGTTCTTTGTCTTTGTCAGGGCCTCACGCCCAGTTGGGCTTCCTGGGTCCTCAGACCCCTAGGGGCATCTCTCTGACCTCACTGTTCCCTCTGGCCAGTGGCTGGATCGGCAGACCAGGCCACCCTGCACCCCACTCCTCTCCAGGGGAGAGGCTCCTGGACCTTTGGGGATGACTTGTAAGAATGGATCACACTTGCTGAGGAGCGGGACTTGGAAAGGTCTGGGAGAGTGTGGCTGGCTGGGACAGAGACGCTGGCGAAGCTGGCGGGAAGGAGCGCCCGGAGGGAGCTGCAAAGGAGGGAGCGGGCATTTCCCAGGCCTGCTGTGTGCTGGACACAGAGGTCTGAGCCCTCTTTTCATCCTTTCTCTCGTCTTCTTTACTTCCTGCAGGAGGATTCCTGTCTGTGTTCATTTCAAGAAAATTCCGAGTCATTAGCTCTGGGCATGTTGCTTCCCCTCCATCCCTTGGGTCGCTTTTGCCTGGAATTCCTCTTGGGGCCTCCATTCTGGGCGTCCGTGCCTCTAGCGTATTTCCTTTCTCTTCGTCTTTCTGCCGCATTCCGAGATCCGTCTGCCATTTCATGGTTTGCTTCTCCATTTGTGTTCAGTCTGCTCTTGCATCCATCATTGAGTTTTAAGGCTACATATTTTATTTTCCAAAGTTCGGAGGGGGGTGCGTCGGTGGCTCCATTGGTTAGGTGAACGATTCTTCATCTTAGCTCAGGTCTTGATCTCAGGGTCATGAGTTCAAGCCCTGCATTGGGCTCTGTGCTGAGTTTGGAGCCTACTTTAAAAAAAAAAAAAAAAAAAAGTTCAGTTTAGTTCTTTTAAAAATCTGATTTTGTATACTCTCTTTTCTCTCCAGATCTGGTAAGTGTTTTACCTTTTACTAAAAAAAAAAAAAAAAAAATCCTATTTGAAGGGATAATATCTCGTTCCCTTCTTATGTGTTAAAATCTATGTTTTATTTCTTCAATCATTTGACTCTTCTTGTCTTTTTTATCTTTTGTACTCCCTCTATCACAGGCAGTTCTCAGCAGCCCACGTCTGCTGTTCTGCTGACTGTAGCTCACAGTGGGTTGTTCCGGGTGGATTTGTTGTAGTATTAGACCCCCTACCCTTGTCTGATGGAGCCTTGTGTGGGCTGAGGGGCTGTCCTGCAGAAGGGCTGCCGTCTCTTCCCTCAGATACCTGGCCGAGACCAGGTTAGGAGCACCTCTTTCGTTAGAAACAATCTTTCTCAGCCCGAAGCGTTTCTGGGCCATAAGGGAAAGGAATAGTCAAACCCCACATGCACTGTGAGGGCAGGCCTGTGACTTTGTTTTCTTTCTTACTTCAGGGCCCAGGCAAAGACAAAGCAGTGTTCTTATTATGAAAAAGTGCATTTTATCCCTAGTCCGTTCTTTCTCTGACGGCGGTCCTTCAGAACTCCAGCTTTCCACGGGCTCTCGGCTGCAACGTCCCTCAGGCAGGCCCAGAGCAGCCTTCCTGCCCCCTTCTAGGCCTTTCAGCCCAAGCCCCTGGCAACCCAGCCTCATGGCCGCCAGCAAAACATCGGTAGCTGCCTGTCACCGTCTCATGGACAGTCCCCTCTCTCCGCGCCTGCGGCTGGCTGTGATTAAACATCAGGCAGTGTTATCAGCACTTGGCTGGTGTTGAACCCCCGCAGTGACTTTGTGACGGGGGTGGTCTTAATATCCCCATTTTACAGATGAAGAAACCAAGGCAGAGCTTTTTAAATCGCGGGTTTCTTAAGTGGTTGTGGTTCTTAAGAGGGTGTGCAGCTTGTCTCCTTGGCCATGTGGCTTCTGAACTACGCCTTTCCTGGTCTTCTAGAAGCTGGAGTTAAGGCTAAGGATGTAGGTGTTGAGAGGTGAAGCAAGTTCTGTCGCAGCCCTGGGTGGCCTTTCCCGCTGAGGGCCACGGGAGGAGA